GTAACTTTTCTCTCAGCCTTGATTTCCTCATTATTACAATGAGAATAATAACCTGTGCCCTGTTTATGTCTCAGGATTACTGTGAAGATCAAATGGCCCAAAGTGTAGGAATCACCATGTCAACAGCAGTACTCCAGACACATATGAGACATTCTCACCATTACTGCTGAACGGTGGTTCCCAGCTTTCTCACTAAAAGGCATCTTTTTATTTCTGGAATATGTATTTTTTTCAAATGTCTTTTTAGATAATAATTTATTCATTCCTTCATTTGTGTCCATAAAAACTTACATAATTACCAGAGATTTAGGATTAATATAAGATAACCATGGATACCATGCCAAGTTAATAGTATTTCAGTCAAAAGCAAAGAAGTTTAATGTTTTCATACATGCTTGTAAGGGATATTTAGACTTCATTTAAATGCTGAAAATAACTCTAAGTGTCCTATGACTACCACTATGGACCTTTAGGCATTAAAGGGCCCTTGGCTGGTTAAAAAGCCCCAACTGGAAACTAGGAGATGTATGTTGTAGACCTGGCTCTCCCTCTGGCTACCTCTGTGACGCTGAGCAAGTCATGTAAGCTCTCTGAGTCTCAGTTCTCAAATCAGTAAAATGGGTTGGTTGACCAGGTCATCACTAAAGTTGCTTTCAGTTTTAATGTCTGATGGTTCTAGATCATCCATAAACATTCTAAGTAACAAGTACTCCATACCACTAACCAACTCCAACCCACTTTATTACTTTTACTGCTTTCATTAACAATAGCAAACATTTGGTGAATATCTACTGGGCGTTCTAATAGGTGCTCCATGTGCATTCTTTCACTTATTTATAATAAAAATGCTAAGCAGGTGCTATCATTATTATCCCCATTTTAAAGATGAAGTAACTGGGGCTGGGAAAAATTAAGTTAGGTGACAGAGTAGGGATTAACTTAAAAGTGTATGAATCCAAAGTCTGTTCTCTTCCCACTACAACAAAGCACTCTGCCTCCTCTGCAGATAGCAATAGACCAGAGAGAAATATGACTACACATAGCTCTCTTTATTCAGAAGGAAGTATATGCCATTTAACAATACATTCCCTACTATCCCTCTAAACTGTGTATTTGTTTGCATACAGTACTCAGCTTTCTCTGTGATTATAGTTAAAGACAAATGAATGTATACAATAAGTATAGGAAATACTGTTTATGTTTCTAAGGTGAAAACAAATCATCTTTTTTTAAAGACACACTTTAAACACTGATTAGCAATGTCATCATATAAAAAAAAAATTGGCTGGATCATTAACGTTGCATTGAAATTTAACAACTCAAGCACATCTTCAATTTTCCGACAAGCTTCAATAATAGGTCAAGGTAAAACAAGCTACACTTAAAGTTAATGATTGTTTATCCTTGATAATAGAAGAGAACACCAAACCATTTCATTTTTCCTTCAAATTGTTCCTTGTATCCAGGCCTTTCTCTGTCCTCACTGCCTTTCCAAAAAAAATAATCCAAATCCGTTGCCATCGAGTTGATTCTGACTCATCACGACCCGGCAGGACAGAGTAGAACTGCCCCATACAGTTCCAAGGAGCACCTGGTAGATTCGAGCTGCCGACCTTTTGGTTAACAGTCGTGGCTCTTAACCACTCTACCACCAGGATCTCCAAAATCCTGATCATCACACCCCCTGATCACAGCCACAGTCTCCTAGTTGACCTTGAGTCAAGTATTCTGTGCCCCTCCTTTCACTCAGACTATACCTCTGTAAGATCAGGCTTCTGGCCGTCTATAAATACTGATTAAATTGAATTGCTCAAAAATCTAGGCTCACTCATGATTTTCGTTTTTACTGAATCATGGCTAAACTCTTCAATGTGGCTCTCAAGACCCTTGATAATCTGGTCCAATCCTTCTCATTAAATCTTACTTGCTACTAATTGTAGGGTAAGCTGTAACCTA